TGTGTGTGTGTGTGTGTGTTGTTTACATATATGTGAAATCGTTTACATATGTAACGAATCCAAGCTGACATCAAATGTCGAGCTTTACTAGATTCATTTTTTCGTCGATATTTTCATCTAGATACTTCTACCTAGACACGCAACATTCTCCCAGACGATATAAACATTCAAAAGACGTCTGACAAAATTAGGACATCTTTCAAACTTTTACATTATCCGAGTTTACTCCGCCAACTGATAAAGTCGTCTTCAACCTAAAAGCATCCATCCCAAGGTATGATTGATATCTTTTTTGTTTGAGAACCTGAGAAAAATTCCGAGCGCTATCTCTCGCTATTCTCTTGATTTCTATTTCTTCAATGTGATCTTCATTCTTGCCCTGCCACCGGCTAACGTCAGTAGCCGTCACTCTTTTGCAATATTTCCTCCCGTGCAACTCTCCTCCCGTGAACCTGAGGAAAATCCTGAGCGACGTGTCTTGAGCTATCTCAATTCTCAAACCTCTTTCTGTCTGGACACGATCTGGACTCACTCTTGCTCCACGCTAATGTCCACTGTCCTCACCCTGGACGAGTCCGTGGGCAATAGTTGAAGACGTTCAGGTTCCGCGTCCAGCATGATGATACACATGAAGCTCTTGCCTGATGCTTGATCCCTGGGATAGATGGTCACCGGCGCGAATTTATCCACCGAGCCGTCCACGTAGGAACAGAGCTTCCTGTAGACCTGGGGAAAGTGTCTCCTCAAGGAGACTCCCCTGAGCCTGAGCTGTCGTTGGATATTCGTGAAACTGATCTCTCGCGATCTTCGTGGTGTATTTTGTCCGTTGTTACCGGGTAGTGATGTCAGTACAAGGGTCTCGGGCGAATCCATCTCTCTGGTGATGTTGCAAGGGGACGCGGGTGCCTGTTGCGACAGCCTCCTCCTGGCTTGCGGTGACGCCGAAGAGGAGGAAGCGTGCTGCTTGGCCGCCCCGTCGAGTCTGATTTTCGCGCATCTGGATACCAGTTGCCGTTCCCATCTGACCGCACCACTAGTTGGCACCTCGCTGACCACGCAGACCGCCACGTAGAGTACTAGCCGCGCTTCTGGATTGTACGTCTTGCAGAGGCGCATCAGCTCGGCGTACAGCTCGGCGCCCATCTCGCCCGGAAGCAAGTCCGACCAACGCACATAAGTGGGTTCGCCTAGATCGGCGAAGCCGTTGCCGACGAAGCGCTCGGCCGCTTCAGGGCTCGAAAAGAAGCACTTGACTGCGCCGCGACCATGAGCGGCGTAACCCCGTCTGGCGAGGGCGGAGATGTGCTTCAAGGTCAACGAGTCCTCCTTCGCCGAGGACAGCACCTGGCGGCAGAGACTGCCAGCTCGCGAATGAAGGCAGGTCTTGCGATGACGTTGCCAATGAGCCCTTCGGCATTCACGTGAGCAATACAGGCA